AAAATCTGAAAAATTCAATAATTATTTCAGGGTAAAACATTATATTATTTAACAAATTATGCTTAATAAATGGATTATCTGAATTGCAGAAAATAATGTTCTATTCTTAACATATTCCAGAAAAATAATCTTTAATTTTACCTTTCAAAATATTAAAATAATAAATTACAAAGTGTAATTTCAATAAAAAATTAGAAGGAAATTATTTTTAATTTTCTTTATTTCAAATAAGAAACTAAGAAATGAATAAATAACTGTACAAAATAAATTACAAAAAATTGTAAAAAGGCACAGGAAATATGTAAGTCTAGAAAGAATAACTTCTGAAAGAAGACAGAAAGCCCAGAAGATAAAAAAGGAAAACAATAAGAGGCACATATGCATAAATGTGTATTCAGGCATATATAATTATTTGTATAGATTAATTTATATGTATAATTATAATGTTTTGCAGAAAATAAATAGCCATTTTTTTTATTAGAAAGCAATTTGAATGTATCTGACAAATATATCAGGAACATATTAAAAATACAAAAGACTACTAATAGATCTTCACAGACCAAAAGAGAAAACAAAAACACTACAATTGTAAAAACAACACAAGGCCATCTATTTGTGCATAGAGGTTGATATGTAGAGAAGGTGGGCTTGTACCTGCAATCTGCTAGAATTTCTGAGCTTTTCTGTGATGCTAATGTGATCACCTAATGGCAACTATGTGTACAAGAATTTTGCAAGCACTAAATTGTGAAAAATGTAGTCACTGTAGTCATATATTTCTGCTCATTTTTTTCCTACTCTGGATTCTGAAATCAGTCTAGAATCCCAATGAGATTTTGTTTTTAAGGTGTTATGCAGTGATCAAATCTGAAAATTTATATGGCCTGTTTCTTCAGAAAACATTCTCAACATTCTGAACAAAAGAATTCACACTTTTTAAAACTAAGTTGCAAATGGCAACTTGAGCAGAACTTGAGTATCAAGCATCTTGTTCTTGCTAAATATTTAATACAGAGCAAAAGACACAGTAGGCACCCATTAATAATTTGCAGTGTCAATGATGGAATGGAATGTACTGAACAGAAAACTATGTCAGGAAAACAATGACATCAAAATTAATGCAAACCATGACCTGAACATAAAAGAAGAGCAATAACTTGTTACTTCAGACTATGTATTGTTAGCTTTCTTCAGGAGCAAATCACATGATTTGTTTTGTTTTTATTGTTTTCTGCTCACTCATACCTCCCATTTTGTGTCTTTCTTCAAGGTAGATTACACATATTTCTTGATTGTTGCTCTGTGTTCCATAGTTTGCAAACTAAATTAAGCTTCTCATAATGCTCATTTGTTAATTCTAGATAAATATATAAATACATACTTAGAATGAAATAAGAAAAGGAAAGAATAAAAGAGAAAGTGAGAGACTGGGGAGATTGGGAGAGAAGAAGAAAGGAAAGAAAGGGTACAAAGAGAAAGTAGGAGAAAATAAAATATACTAGCTTATTCTCTGTGTGTGTGCATGTGTGTGTGTTTACTTATTTATTTTTCTTATAGATAGAAAGATACCAGCAAAACAATTTATACCACCATTGGCAGAAATGCCTCAGGGCAAAATGTACTGACTGCATAAATGTTAGCTTTTCTTGAATATTGTATTAATATAAGCTAGAGTTATGTGTTTCCAGAGATTAATTTGGATTCTGAAAACATTAGCATTTCACTTCTAGATTACGTTCACACAGAATGAGAATGACTTAGAGATGCCAATTATAAGATCAAATATTAATTAATATTACACATTCCAAGTACAGCTTCTTTTCTTTTTCTTGGAACAGTTAATAGATCTCAGATCCAAGCTGTCTTTGGGTGATGAGAGTTACATAATGGGCTTCATCTCTTCTCACCATAGGTACAGAAAGTCTTTGGACTATAATAATTTAACTACATGTTAATTTAAGAAATTAAGAAAGGAAGAATTGTAATAATTGGAGTACTCCTGGCAAATAGACTTTTATGCCCTTTTCAACTTTTCAGCATGTATTTTTTTTAGCCTTTGAAAATATAGACCCCTCCCCACCACAAAACAATATCATTTTATATGGTAAATCAAAGAAAATCTACAGTTGTTGTACTCATGAACCTTGGCACAACATTTGGCAATATTCAACATTCATCGGAAATGAAATGTGTTGAACAAGCAACATAGGAATCCATGTTTCTACAATTTTTTTTAATACCAGGGATTGAACCTCAGGGTGCTTAAACCATTAAGCTACATCCCCAGATATTTTTATTTACATGTCTCCCTAAGTTGCTTAGGTGTTGGCTAAGTTGTTGAGGCTGGCTTTGAACAATCCATCCTCCTGCCTCAGCCTCCCAAGCCACTGGGATTATACTGAGCTCAGCTCAAAGTATTTTCTACATTTTATTACAAGCTCTTGAAATGTTTTTTTCCTAAAGTCTTTTATTCTTAATGATTATAAAACGTAAGACAACATAGCTAATTATTCCACAAACTATTTTCTTTACTTGGTTGACCCATCTCACCTTGTTTAACATTAGGTGGGAGCAAGAGTACTCCTTATTTCCCTGAACAGAAAATAGTCAGCAAGGCTCGTAAAGACCTTCTCAGACACTCTACTTTAATCTGCAGTACACAAATGAATAATTGAATACCCCAATCATTACTGTATTTTGCTTCTGTTTCAGTTTTGGAATTTAGATTAGTAACACTCATCTTGGGGGTTGTCAATCTGCTTTTAGCAGTAGAAGATAAGCTTAGCCCAGCTCAATGTTTAAATAATGGATGAATGATTAGAAAATAAAAACCAGAAACACATATTATAATTAGAATTTAATTCATATTCACCCTTATGAATCTGGAGACATGTCAGCAAGATAATTAAAACAGCAGTTGGTTCTTATTCCTCTCTTAGTAATAGACTTCTCATAGTAAAAATTGTAAAATGAGTACACAGTTATGAAAGCAATATAAGTGTTTATTTTAGAACTTAGAATATTTTTTAAAAATTGAATTATTAAACTCTGACATAACTTATGAAGTTGAAAATCTTTGTTTTATTTTTTAAATTTAAATTCAGTTCTTTTTAACATATATAAAACATAAAAAATTAACACATATTGATGGGGTACCATGTGATATTTCAATATGTGGATGCATTGTTCAGTGTGTAAATTCAAGTTAAACATATCTGTTTTCTTATTTATTGTTTCTTTATAGTGAAAATATTCAAACTCCTTTCTTCTAGTTTTTAAGAATATACTGTGTATAGCTACCTGTATTCACCCTAGTATGCAATAGTATAACTGTTTTTCTTATTCATAACCATAACTCAGTACCCACTTAACAATGTTCCCTCTATCGTACCTCCCTTTTATTCTCCCCAGGTTCTTGTACTCAGTTTTTATGAGATTAACTTTTTATATTCCATATATAGGTGGGGGCATGTGGTACATATCTTTCTGGGACTAAAGTCTATATTAAAAGAGTCCAAAAGTAATTGTTATCAGTGGTAAACACATGTCCTATAACTGCCATATTCCTTATGTCACATTTATTTAGGTTTTTCACTATTCAGTTTTGCTTTGGTAAAGTAAGCAAATTTAAAAAAATATATCAAATTATTATATATGAAATACATTGATGGCTACGATAGTTCTAAAGATACAGAATGAACATATAGATTCCATTTTAATGGAATGTACAACCTTGATAGGTGAAGAGGGATAAAAGAATTCCTGATTGAGAGGATCTATAGATCAATACTACAGCATGAGACACTGTTACATATGTCCCTGAACACTCCTCAATCCTTCTAGTTTTTGTAGAGATAAAGTAATTATTGTTTTGCGCTTATAAAACAAGATTTGGATCACATCAAGTGAGCCTTCTCCTGATACTGCTCACTAGTTTATTGAATCTGAGTTTCTCAATTAGTGAGAAACTGAGTTCTTTAGGAAATCTTAGCATAGAACTATAAAAGTCTGCAAATTTATTATTGTAAAACTATGCTTTTTTCATGAAAATTTTCTATTTTGTTTTTATTTGAACATTTTTCTGCTTACCCATGGCTGTAAAATGGTCTTTATGAAGTAAGTTTTCTTTTATTTAATATTTTCATTATGTTTCCCAAAAAAAGATACAGTTATCTAACTTAAAATGCAACTACTTTTTCTTGTTTGTATTATTATTTTTGAATTTTAAAAATAAGAATGCTGCAACAACTAGGAATTTTATTTACCTATCATATATTAATTACACAAATAATTTTCAACTCCCAAATGTTAACTTATTTATTGAATTAATGATATATATGGAGCAGTTGCCTCAATTTTTAAATTTCAATTTTCATTGGCAGTTATTGTGATGATCTTGGGGATAATTCCCTGTGAGGCTGACATCCCACAATGTCCTGGGTAGGAAAAGATCTTATATGTAACTGTGCCTCTTAGAAACAGCATGATAATAGAAAGCAGCTTATTTTACTGGAAATGACTAGACTGAGGGACCCATCATAGGATATGAGTTCTTTTTCTGATAATGATTCCCATTCCTTTATGTATTCCCCCCTGTGTATGATACTGCCTCGTCATTTAGAATCCTCACCTGGTCTCTGCTTTCCCCAATTCTGTGCCCATTTGTGTCTTTATGCCATTACCTGTATCCGATTTTTCAACATCCTTATATTTTATCAGTCATTCTCTCAACTTCCTCAATAATTGTCTTCTTCTTTTCCACACGCCTCCTGACTGCTATATTTATTTTTATTTTCATTGTAAACATATTAGGAGAAAATAAGGAAGTTGTTAAAATAATTCACATTTTATTCCCTTTGTTCAAATACTTGACTATTTAGTAAAGAACTAGGGAGTGTCATATGAGTACATAGCAATACACTATTTTAGTTCTTCATATATCAAGGACAACCACTATTGATGGAAACTACAGCACAGGGGTGAGAAGGACACTTACTTACCTGAGATCTTGAGATGGTTCTGCTCTGACGTGAGGTGTCTCCACCGAGTGCCCAAATACTGCTCCTTCGGTGCCTGGAGGCAGCAGAAATAAGTGGTCAGAACAAGAAAGTCCATAGACACATTCGGTTTCATTTCTATTTTTATACATCAAATATTCTTCCCCAAATGGGAAAACTGGAAACAGGAGTAGAGAAAATGAAAGAGAAATGATGGAAGAGGAGTACAGAATAGTGAAGAACCAAAGAAAGTCAACCTAAATATCTGTTATAACTCTGTTAACTGCTTTTAAGATGACATTACTTATACATTGAGACTGAGAATTTCTACTTTCTGGTCAAAGAAAAAGGAACCATTTATTTTTCCAGTGCCTAAATTCTCAGTTAAGTGAACTAGAGGGAGGGACAGGTCAGTTTTGATTTCTGTCCTCCTACAAATAGTAGGGCAGGGATGAAAGTGTTAGAGGGTGAGCTCCAGTGTAGCATATTACTAGTTGCTTAAAGACAGGTCTCATGGGGCATTTAGCAATATAGCTTTATAGTGATCATCAAATGATAGAGAACGTATCATGTTACTTTGACCCCTCTGGAGTTAAGGCTCTATCTAAAACTATGAGCTACTTTAGTTCATTTCATTATAGCTGAATTCATATGGGGTCACAGATGTCTGAAGAGGTCACGGACTCTAACATCTGCCTCAGCAGTTGAATGACACTCCACATAAACTTTCACTTACTGACTCCATTTGATATTTTTTCAGACTTAGAGATTCTCTGTGCTTTAACTGAACAAAATGGAATGATTTTCTTCTTCAAAAGCCAAGTGAAAAAAAATTTTTTTAAAAGATATTGGTAAAAACCTTTGTATTTTTGTGATTTTTCACAAGCATTTCAGATCATTTCCTTCAGATTAAACTTTAATTTCTTTTGTTCTAATATTCTTAAAATGTCTATATGTAAGAATGTCATTCCTGTTCCACAAATGTCTTCAAAACTATTTAAGTATTACAAGGCAATTCAAAACTATAAATTTTAAGCCTACAAAACAAACCTGTTATTGCTTAATGTGAAGGAACACATAAAATACATTAATTCCAGTAATCAAGGATGAAATTGCAGCTAGGAAAGTTCAGCTAACATTTTGAGTTTCTTAAATAATAATTGGCTGTGTTGGGAAATGTATTAGAACCACCTGATGATAGCTTTTTAAAAAATAGCAAAAAGACCTTGATCCTGAGTCACAGAGGAAGGTTTTTTTTCCCCAAAGATTGTAACAGAATTTCATCTGTTTTATGGCTCTTAGGACAAATTAAGACTCTGCTGTAGTAAATTCCTAAGATTACAGATTTCAACTTATAACTAAAAGTTATTGGCATTTTTGGACCTTCTGCTGGGTTTTACTAGGTTTTTCTTTTTTTCTTTTTCCCCTTAAAATGGAGCATGTAGTGTAGGGCACATAGTGTTTATCATTTTAGTTGTTTTCACAAATTTAGAAGAATTATGTCTGTAAGAGCATTTCTCTTTCCAGTTTGTAGGATATTTTATCTCTACAAGTGGTAAATTTCTTAAGATGAGTCTTTAAATGTAAAATAATAGTTTGAGATAAATCTCTACTTTCATGCTTTTGATGGGATGGCATTTGAAAGAACATTCCAAGGTATAAGTTTGCAGATCTGAAAAAAAGAGACTTTGACATTTTAAAATGAAATATAACTTCCAGGTAGGTTATTTATCCATGTGCAAGGTTCAAAAATTAATTTCTACTATTGTATGATTATGAAAAATTCCCAATGAGTCAGAAATGTAATTAAAGGATGGCAACAATACTTATTTCTGAACACAGGTTGGCATACATAGTAACTGGGCATAGATTGTATTGGGGAAAATGAAAATAGTCAAAGTTTAAGTTTTCAAAGAAGATCAAACAATTATACAGGTCTCGATTCTAAGTTTCGATGTAGAAAGGTATTAATAATTTTTAAAATATTCCTAAGGAATTAAGTCTACAATCACATCATTTATGGGGCTAAGTTGAAAACTGAACAAAGCATCATAAATAAATAACTAAATGCTGATATCTAGATGATGAAAAAAGTTGTTCTCACCCTCCCTGCTGATGCCAGACTTACAAAAATTAATAGTTGTCAAAGATAATCTTGAAGGATATCAATGAGGAAAAATAAAAGCCACCTGAACCAGATTTGTACTATAACAGCTGAAGACAATCAACAGTAAAAAATAAATCTCTCATAAATGGGAAATTTTTACTGTCAGGTTTGTCAGAATTGACAATAAAAATACAGGATATTGGTAGCAGGAGATGGAAGATTATAGGAAAGGTTTACCTCCCAGTAGCTCCTTAGCAACAGAATTAAAAAGCAGGAAGACTGCTCATCAAAGAGATGGATAACTAAGAAAATTCCCTGAAATTCAGTACTTGACAGTAAAAGAAAACATAGAGAAACAGAAAGTTTGAAAATTCAAACATAATATAAGAAACCATATGTTAGAGGCAATCATGAGTTCAAAGCCAGCCTCAGCAAATTAATGAGGCCCTGAGCAACTCAGCAAGACCCTGTAAATAAAGTATTAAAAAGGGCTGGGGATGTGGCTCAGTGGTTAAGCACCCCTGCATTCAATCCCCAGTAGGAAAGAAAGAAGGAAGGAAGGAAGGAAGGGAGGGAGGGAAGGGAAGGGAAGGAGGGAGGAAACGAGGGAGGGAGGGAGGAAACGAGAGAGGGAGGGAGGGAGGGAAGAAAGAATATGTGGATAGAGATAGAGATGTGCCAGCTTGGCTGGTGGGAGCAAAGAATAGTGGAGAAAAAAAAAATGGATTTGCAGGAATCTATGGAATATAGAGGGAGGCTGATCTTCATGGGCCCAGAGCCAGAGAGGGAGGTTGTTGAGTTAAAAAAATAAAAATAAAAATTTCTCAACAGATATTTCAATGTGAATTGGTGCCAGTGGAGAACCATTTGTAAGTGCTGTACCATGGGGAGCACAGAAAAAAGATCAGCAACTCATAAAGGAAGTTGCCACCCTCCCAGCAGTCACCTATCATGGGCTTCAGAGAGCCTGACCAGTGTGACTGAAATAGGTACAAAGAGATTTATTTGATCCTTGAGGATCCTTTGTATGAAGACCAAGGAGAAAGAGCTTTCTTTGTTGCATGATGTCACATATCCATGATGACTTTGAATAGAAATGGTCTCAACTTCCCAATTATAAGTTATAGATTAGGATAATGTATTTTTAAATTTTTATTTGTTTTAATTAGTTATACATGACAGTAGAATGTATTTATGCACTTTGATATATCATACATAGATGGGATATAATTTCTCATTTTTCTGGATGAACATGTTGCAGAATCTTATTGGTCATGCACTCACATATATACATACAATAATGTCTGTTTCATTCTACTATTTTCCCTATCCCCACATCCCCTCTCCTTCTCTCCCATCACTTCCCTCTACCTCATCTATGGTAATGCTATTCTTCCCTAGTGTCTCCCGTCTTATTATGAATTAGTATCCACATATTAGAGAAACGTTGGCCTTTGGTTTTGTAGGATTGGCTTATTTTGCTTAGCATGATATTCCCCAAAGCTATATGTGCTAATAATTTATATATGCCATGATTTTACTCTTCTTTAAAGCTGAACTAATATTCCATTGAGTATATATCCACATTTTCCTTATCCATTCATCTATTGAGGGGCACCTAGGTTGGTTCCATAGTCTAGCTATTATGAATAGAGCTGCTATCAACATGATGTGGATGCATGCATTACTATAGTATGCTGATTTTAAGTCCTTTGGTATAAACCAAGGAGTGGAATAGCTGGGTCAAATGGTGGTTCCATTCCCAATTTTCTGAGGAATCTCCACACTGCTTTCCATAGTGGTTGTACCAGTTTGCAGTCCCACCAGCAATGTATAAGTGTATCTTTTTCACCAAGATTGCCATTCTGACAGGAGTGAGATGAAATCTTAGAGTAGTTTTGATTTGCATTTCTCTAATTGCTATAAATGTTGAATACTTTTTCATATATTTATTGATCAATTATATTTCTCTTCTGTGAAGTGTTGTTCAGTTCCTTAGCCCATTTATTGATTTGGTTATTTGTTTTACAATGTTAAGTTTTTGAGTTCTTTATATATCCTAGAGTTTAATGCTTTATTGGAGGTGTATGGGGTGATGATTTTCTCACAATGTATAGGCTGTCTCCTCACTTTATTGTTTTCTTTGCTGAGAAAAAGCTTTTTAATTTGAATCCATTCCATTTATTAATTCTTGATTTTACTTCTTGTGCTTTAGGAGTTTTGTTAAATAATTCAGATCCTAGGCTGATGTGGTTCTAAATGAAATTCTGGCATATTGCATACAAAAACATATTAAAAAGATAGTGCACCATGATGAAGTGGGATTCATCCCAGGGATGCAGGGTTGGTTCAACATATGTAAATCAATAATCATAATACATCATATTAATAGTATTAAAAACAAGAATTATATGATCATCTCAATAGATGCAGGAAAAGCATTTGACAAAATACAGCACACCTTCATGTTCAAAACAAACAAACAAACAAACAAACAAAAAAACCACTAGGGATAATAGGAACATACCTCAATATTTTAAAAGCTATAGATGCTAAACTGAAAACCAGCATCATTCTAAATGGAGAAAAAATGAAAGCATTCCTGCTAAAAACTGAAACAAGACAAGGATGTACTCTTTCACAACTTCTATTCAACATCAACCTTGAAACTCTAACCAGAGCAATTAGACAAAAGAAAGAAATTAAAGGGCTACAAATAGGTAAAGAACTCAAACTATCACTATTTGCTGATGACATGATTCTATATCTAGAATATCCAAAAAATTCCACCAGAACACTTGTAGAACTAATAAATGAATTCAGCAAAGTAGCAGGATATAAAATCAACCCCATAAATCAAAAGCATTCCTATACATCAGCGATGAATCCACTGAAAGAGAAATTAGGAAAACGACTCCATTCACAATAGCCTCAAAAAAAAAAAAAAAACCTGGAAATCAATCTAACAA